AACCACTTTGTTTGTGCCTTTCAATAAATCTCTTTATTTGAAACTTCACTCTAGTCTGCGTCTGAGTCCTGGTCACCATCCCTGACACAGAAGGTCTGTTCATTACTGTCAATGAGTATAACTGACGTTGTTACATCCACCATCTTGTCAAATCTGTGACCATGCAAATATTTAAATTTTTTTATCTACTCCAAAAATACCCTTGTTAGAGCATTATCTGTAGATATTATTACTGTGGTCTTGTGGTTGCTGATTTGTGATTTAGGCCTATCAATTTTGTTTTTATTTGAACAGTTAACTGCAGACCAAGCTTACCATTATACTAACTGTCTCGGGCTAATATGTTACAGCATAGGTGTAGAAGTAATTTAACTGCTATCTATTTTACTCTTTTCCTACCCTTACTCTTGTGCCCTCTTCTCATATGTGTACTAGATTAATTGCTCTGTTGAACTTCTTATGCATACTTAATGTTGATCTTTCACAAGTAATACTTTGTTTCCTGACATGAAGCACAAAGTAACTAATTTCAAGGATTCAAGTTTATTTTATTGTCATCTACATTGCAGTGAAATTTAGATATAGTTCCCCTTCTGCTACTTTTAGAAACAAAATAAAACAGTGAAAACGAGTCCATGAATCCATTTTCCTTCTTACTGTAAGTCATTTTTACAATACTTTTGTTTATGGAATCTAATCATATTCTGATTTGTGATCACAATCATTGAATTTGTGGTCCAATACCGTCTTCACAGGCTCACAATTGCTTTCAGTAAACACTGCTAAGACAAGCTGCTATTTTTAACCTCTACTGGAAATGTGCTTTGCTAGCTGTATAGGTGATTGAATGGTGTAGGGTGCAGGGATAAGAATGAGGCTTCACAAAGACCAGAATGAGAACGGCGTAACAGGAAGTAACCTTTTTGTCTATGTTCTGTCATAACCAATCAGATGCATTTGACAGTAGTACGTAAAGTACAGTATTGTTGCCACACACACATGCTGTATCACCTCCTTTACTCACTCAAATACTAACAAGGTTCCCAAAAAAAAAAAAGACTGTCAAAATGATCCTGTTATGGGTTACGGTGCTTGTTCTTCATCAAGGATGTAAGTGCTTTATTTCTTCTTCTTTATTTCTAATTCTGTGCAACTTTTCAGTTTTTTTGGAATTTGCATACCAAATAGGTTTATGAAGGTCGCTATATTATCTTTTAGCATAATACATTTTTTTTTTTTTTTTTTAAACTGTACACTAAATGATAGCTTGATGAACCTGTGGCCTTCACATGTCCTTTGCCCAATATTCAGATCAGCCATAGAAAACTCTGGTACAAGCAGAGTGCTGGGGATGCTATGAAATTAATTGGGACAATGGAGAAATCTTTATCATATGCGTATGCACCAGAGTTTTCTGATTCAAGATTGAAGATAAGTTATGATAACAAATTTAGCAACCTAACCATTGTGAGGACAGTCCAAGAAGATGAGGGAATGTATCACTGTCAAAGCTTGGAGTGGGTTTCAAATCCTGAATTCAGTGGGACATATTTGTTACTAAAAGGTAATCATGTCATGTCATGTCTATTTTTATAAAGTTTTGTAAAAAAATTGCAAAACGTCACCCACTGATTGAATGACTACCAGCTACATGATACGTAAGTGATAATGCCAACTTAATCTTCTTGTTATTCCATTAAAGTGCTTATAAAAGGATCCATATATTTATATGTATATGTTGCTCTCTCCACAGACTGAAGCAGACAACAAATTTAACTACGCTGAGGCATTGAATTTCTCAACGAGAGGAAGAAAGAAGAGAGAGATTGCTGAGGACAGTGTGTACTCTCATGTTATATATAATGTGATATAATGCTGAGCATTTTATGTGAACCTAACATCATGTTATTTCATTTTGTGTGTTATTGTTAATTCATCTCAAGTAAATAAACATACATATATACTCACACTCATACACCACAGCTCAATTCCTCAAATATTGACGATTTTTTTTTCTCACATTGTAAAACTGAAAAGACATTGAACACCCAACGTCCTTCTCAAACAGACTAAATTATGAGTTACGTGTTTATAAAATGTCAAATTTCACAATAAACACACAGAACCTAGAACATGGATTTTCTCTTTAATGGGAATATCAGTTTGACACACAAATAATAATAAAACAATAATAAAAGTTAATTACAAATATTTATTCTTGGTTAAACCAGGCAACGTCATAAACATATCATCATAAAACATAAGTGCTGTCTAAATCCTTTCTTTCTGATATTGCTATTAACAATAACATTCATGAAAAAATCTGTCATCTCCTTTCATGAAAATTATCTGTAGATTAGATGTTCATTCTTCATAGGGATGGTGCTTCATTGAAAGTCTCTCATGCCAGAGTACATGCAGTCCTGTGATAAATCCCTGGTATTCAGCCATCTCTCTCTCTTTCTTGATGGGAAATTCAGCGCTACGTAGTTCACTTCCAGTGCTCCACCATCCTGGAAATTATATTTGTGATTGTTAAATATTAGAACTGTAATACACAACCAAGTAATATGGGATTGCTTTGACATTCAACAATAAAAGCTACGGTACCCAATTGTTGACCCCGAAACCACTTTTTAAGCAGTTAGTCTAGAGCTTTGTAAGGGTAACAACAGAACAAGGCTTTCATGAACGGCCAACTCCTCCCACACTCAGCCTCCTGTGAGCAGATTCACAGAGCTGTCAATTCAAGTGCAGTTTAAGATTTGCTTCCTCTGTCATTGCTGAAGCATTTCTGCCCACAATGATGCAGAACGGAGAGGCAACTCCGTCTCCTAGAAATGTTCACTCACGGAACTTGGTTAAGTTGTGAGAAAGGTCACAGTCTGGTTTAATGCAGAAGTAGTGCACAGTGAATTGAGGTATGAAAGATAACATGATCATTAACATTTAACAGAACCCAGTCTTTTACCTAATCTTAACCAAAGTGCTTGCGTAACTAAGTTGACGAAGATCCCCTAACCATAACGAAGTACTTAACCCCAACTGTGATGTTTTACGAGCTCAGACCACCTGTTTTAGTGGGAAAAACCTAATCAAACCTTAACCACAACTGTGTAAGATCAGAAAATAGAGTCATTTGTAAGTCAACTGTGATGTTGTCCTGTTGATTTTAGATCAGAAAATGTATGTCTTGTTCTGGAGGAACGTATTTTGTCATTAAATCTGGAGGACTTGATGGAATAATGGAATAACCATGTATTAATATTTAATACTATTCATGCATTAGATAATATACCGAAATTATATTTACCACATTACTAGGTTGATCCTCAGGTGATCTGTCACATTCAGCGTGATTGTAAGCAGCTACTCCTCCTATTAATGAAGCAAAGCAATTAATTAATTCATATTTAAAAAATATCAGTGTTGGCACCTGACTCGGTTAATGTATTGAATAGTACACTCTTACGCACCTACCTTTGCAATGTTCACAGACTGGCTTTTTATTTCTGGAGACAATTAAAGCAACAATCACAATCACACAGCAGGCCAGCAGTGTCCCAAGCACAATGAGAAATGGATACACTTCTTGTCCTGGAATGAAAAAGAAATAAATCCCAAAGAAACAACAATCTAACTGAAATTCAGTGCGTTACATGATTAGTAACAGTTTTCTACAGCTACAAAACTGACAGTGAACTCTTACATTTCATACAAATAGTACTCATTTAACTGTACCTATTTTTGTCTTTTACATATGATGACCTCTTTGCCTTACCAGATATTTTTTAACAGACCAAGCTGAAGGCAAAACCATGTTTTGGGCTGCAACCAATCATTCCACAGCGTGACGCATGTGTGGCATGGCTCTATAGATGCGATGTCAGTCTGCTGTTCAGTCCAGACTGAAACATCTTACAGTTTTTACCCATTGCTTGA